ACCCTGCGGTCTCTCCCGTTTCCCCTCTCTCTTTCTCTCTCTCTCTCTCTTCCCCTCGTATCTCCTTCAACCGACATCCACCCACTAAATTGCCCTAAGTGACAGACTCATAAATACAATAACGACTCTTGGCGGTTCGACGCTCCCGCTCTCTCAAAAATCATTTTTTTTTCTTTTTTTAAATTCAAAACACCGGGGCGGGAAAAGGTGTGCCAACAGAGAGAAAGAGAGAGAGAGGAAAAAAGGCCGGTAACTGGGTCTCTCGGTCGTGAAATAGTTCCCATCTGGAGCGTTATAAATAAAAATCATAAGATATTAGAAAATTCAGAAAAAATTTAAAAAATTTTTGAAAATAAAGAATTAGAAAAAAAAATATTTTTTTTAACGATATAGTCACTTATTGTTTGTTTTTTTTTTTTTTGAAATATTATTTAATGGAATTCGCGAGACTCCGTACGTGTTTTCCTTGGTGGGTTTGACGCGCGACTGTGTGACTGGGGACCAAACCCGGGCTACCGTCAACCCTCTTCTGCCTCTTGTCCCTTCGATTCATCCCCGTGTCGTCCTCCCTGCTTCCCTTCCTTTTTGCGAACGATGAGGAGGCGCAGGAACGAGACTCCACCGACCTGTATATATATATATATATATATATATATATAGATGTCGTCCTTTTCCCACCGAGAAATGGACCAGTCGATGTCTTTCTCTGTTGCGCATGAGGTTCATTACAACACCCTTTTCCTAGGTCGGTTCTGTTTCACCCTCTCGGTCGCACCCATAGTGAAAGAGGGGGAGGCGGAGGGTGCGTTTTCCTCCCTCTCACAGCCACCACCTTCTGATGAGAGATGAGTGCGCGCGCCGCGATTCAAAACCTGTGGTTAGAGATGGAAAGAGAAACGATACAGAAGGATGAGAGAGAAAGAGAGAGAGAGAGAGAGGGTTGAAAAAAGGATGGGGGTAGATAAGGATACATCCCAAATATAACCCTTGGTGTTTAAAGGTATATCGTCCCTGGGTATCTCCTTCTCTGTCGCCTTCTTCATTTTCTTATTCCGGAAGATTTTTCTTTTTTTTTTTTTTTTTCTTTTTTTTTGACGCTCATAGTTCCTTTACCAGACCAAGCGAGGCAAAGAGAGATCGTGGATATTAGAATACGTGCGCTACAAAATGAGGAACGAAAAAGACCGCTAAGAGACTGGATATATATCGGAAGTGAAGAGTCCTCAAGGAGTAAAAAAAAAATAGAAGAAAATTTCAATGTTGAAAAGAGAGAAAAGTATTTTAATTTTTGAAATTGAAAGATCAATTATTATTCTTTTATGTAACTAGCTATAAATTTCTCCCTAGGTTTTTACTAGTACTCATATTTTCATTTTATCTTCCACTGATTCGAATATTCACTCATATTTTCAATTTCACTTCCACTGATTCGAATATTCATTCATATTTTCAATTTCACTTTCACTTTCTCTTTCCACTGATTCGAATATTCATATTTTTATTTTCATTTTATTTCCGCTGATTAGAAATTAATGAAAATCAAAATTGAGAGAGAAAATTAAAGTCAATTGAAATGGAAGTGAAAATGAAATTGAAAATGGAAGTGAAAATGAAATTGAAAATGGAAGTGAAAGTAAAAATGAAATTCAGTTAAAAATTAGAATCAGTGAATGTGAAAATAAAAATATGGATGAAAATTGAAAAATCAGTGAAAATGAAATGCAAAATTGAATTACATTATTAAATTAATACAAGACCTTTAATTTTGAAATATTCTTAATTTATTATCAATGTAAAATAAAAATGATTAATTCAAAAATTATCATTAAATTCCAAATTGAACAATTTCCATTTTCTAAATAAATAATTCTGTGTTTTATGAATGTTTTGAAGAATTAAAATTTTATGAAAAAAAAAAATTGTTCCAATATTTTTAATAATTAAATTATATAAAATTTTAATTCAATTGTTATAGAAATTTGAAAAATTCTTGATTGAGAAATTAAAGGCAAAAAATATGGAACTCGTATTAAATAAATATTGGCCTAATTAAAATTAATGGAGTAAAATGAATATAAAATTTTTGTGGAGCTGCTAAAAATTTATTAAATGCACAAATGAATATTCTGTAAAAAAAAATTATTTTAAAATTGACATTATTTTTATTCTTTAGATTTTTCTTTTTAAACAAAATTTCGAACTTTTATACAGCAAATTCACAAGGTTATCAATTTTTTTTTTGTTTGATACAATCTTCACAAAATGTAATATTAATTCAACAAGATAAAAATTTGTTGTATTAATTAAAAATTCTGGGTAAATAAAAATTTGTATTATATAAAAATTCTTTGATGAAGGCAATTTTTTTTTTTTGTTGAATTTGTCACATTAGTTAATTAAGAATTAGTTATTTAATTGTCAGTAAACGAGACGGGTTTTTTTTTATAGATACATTTTATATTTCTCATTTCTTATTAGACTTTCTTATTTCTCTCAGGAATATTTTTCAACACTTTTCAATTTTATGTCAAGCAGCAAGCGTACCGAAAGTGAACAATAGGCAATTTATTTCCGTCGATTCTGAATTGCATCTCCGATGACATATCAAAACTCGTATTCTAACGGATTGATATCATTTTACTTTTTCTTGCCTCTCAATAAGTTTCGTGTTCTTTATTTTTTTTTTTTTAAATGTAATTTACCTTTTTTTTTTTGGAATAATAATGAGCTTACTTGAAAAATTGCTCAATTTAAAGGAAATATTTGTAAATACTGTTATAATATTATTATAACAATAATATAACAAAAATATATTATTATGAAAATATTATAATATATACAAGTATTATAAAAATATAATATTTATTATTATATATTATTCTAATTGTCTTTTAGAGATATAATATTTATTATACAATTTTTACATTTTCAATCGCTTCTCATTAGCAGCGATTCGCGACAACCTGCAAATAGAATATTACGAAAACAATTGATAATCTAAATTGTAAAAATCAAAATCAATAACAATTAATTGTTGTTACAGGAATAATAATAATAATAATAATATGCATTCAACAAAATCAATACTTTCTACTTGTCAGAAAATTGTTGTAATTCGGGTATTCAAGAGGGAATAAATATTTTTCTATTTTCTACTAGAAGTAAATATATAAAAATTCAATAGTTTTTGTCTGACTCTAACTGAATTTTACTACTGATGACAGTGTAAAATTGCAAAAATATTGATAGTCTGACTGTAAAGTAGTTTTACTACTATTTATAAAATTACAATGGAATTGAATCGTTACGTCTGACTAAAACAGATTTTTACTACTGGAACAAAAATTTTTTTATATAGAAAGTCTGACTGTAAATTTATTTTACTACTAATTGTAAAATTACAATGAAATTAAATCGTCACGTCTGACTAAAACAGATTTTTTCTACTGATATCAAAATAAAATTTTGTCTGACTAAAGCAGATTTTTTCTACTGATATCAAATTAAAATTTTGTCTGACTGAAACCGACTTTTACTACTGATATTAAAAAGGAATATTTTTTCCAATATTATTTGAAATACATTTGACTGCTAATTATTTATTATATAATCTAATTAAAACAAACAATTAAATACGTAAATATTCCAGTAGAAGAATTTTTTTTCAAATGTAAAAAAAAAATTATCAAACGATATCCAAACTGAGAATACTCATATGTTCTATTTTTTTTTAAGAGAATTACATTTGAATTAGAAACACGTTTTCGAAAACACTCTAATGGAGAGGGGTGGGGGGGGGAAGGTGGTTGGGGGAGAAGTGTGCGACATTTAAGTAAAGGACTTCCTAAGCCTTGTCCTGGCACTGTAATTATGACGGAACTAAGCCCGGATCCCGGATCGGTGATGCTTAGTGCTAGACGCAGTCCAGATACCTTCGCTTGGCCAAAACCAATTTGGAATTAATTCAACGGACGCCGGAATTAACGTGGGCGTTCTCTGGTATGGAAACCACGCGCGTAATCTTTTGGAGATTACAACGAAAAATCCTCAAGGATCGTGATCTCGTTTCAGTTCAAACTTTTATGAAATTTATTTCCAATGTCATTTTAAAATGTTTTTTTTTTGGTGAGGGTGGGGGGGGGGGGGTTTGAATTCGATTTTTATAAAAAAAAAAAAATATAAATGAATTACAAAAAAATGGTATTTTTCGCTTGGCTGATAATTTAAAAAATTTATACGTTTTACAAAAAATGTGTAAATAGAAATTTAATTTTGTATAAAAGTTCAGGTTATATGAAAATTTATAATGAAGTTTATAATGGAAAATTTCGGTAAATATACAGAGTTTGTTAAATAAAAATTAAAAATTCTACTTTATAAAATTTGGTTATCCAAATTTAATAATTTGTAACTTTCAATACACGATAATTTGTAGTAATTTGTTTTCGTTATTAAAAAAATTTAATTCTTTTTGTGATTTAGGAGAAAATTATCTGCACTTAGAAAACGATTTCTTAGAAATGAGAAAATAGCTGTGGTTTGTAATTCCCTAGGGAAGGTTTTGAATATAATAGTGGTTTCAGAAGGGTAGTTGTTTGACCTGCTTCGGTAGTGAAATCGAGTTTCCAGCACACTCTGCTAATCGACATTGGGATATATACCTCGTGATATTAATCGAGCTTCCATAAATCAGTGTTGGGAATGAAGTCATTGGATTCTAAACTCAAGTTGAGATCAAAACCCTTTTAGGGTTCTTATACGCGTTTACGGAGAAATCGGATAGTCGAGTATGATGATGGTATATATATATATATTAAAGAGAATCTCTCTGCATCCACGAATAGAATATTGTCCTATCTGGCATTAGTGTCCCATTGTTTCAGTTGTCACACGCAGGGACAAGAGAAGCTAAATACACTTTGTTGATGCCCGTTAATATACCCTAGCTTTTGATTGTGACTGCTTCCAAGAAGCTCATTCGAAAGATTTGTCTCGAAATGAAATACTCAAACCATTATGTACAGTAAAACGTACAAATGCCTTCCACTTGAAGTTGCTGCTAGAAAATGAATATTTGCGGTTAGTCTTGTATTTTCGTACTCTTTGCCGACAGATCTGCCAAATGATCAGGTGTCATCAATGGTCATCACTAGAAAAGTTTGTTTTGATCGGTTGGTTTTTTCGATAGCGGCTTTTGTAAATTCTTCAATGTTTTAGAAATAATTCCGAGTGTTAAAATAATTAAATGTGTTCGGGAATTAAATGTTAAAGTGATTGATAAAAGGATTATGCAATCAATTGCAGGTGAGTAACACTTTCAAACAACATGTAGGTTAGAAAAATGTAAACAATAACACAAATGATGTTTTTATATTTGGAAAATAAAACCAATAATTCTCTTATGATTTCAGTATTTTCCCCGTCAATTAAATGTGGAACTTTGTTTACATACTGAAATAATTATTTTTTATCACTAATTTTTAATTATTTGTCTTTTACAGTAAAACTGTGATTTAGACAATTTTGTTAAAAACAGGCTTTTTTCTTTTCGATTTTAAGATTTCTTTTTCCTCTCATTTTATTTTTTCTTCGGTTTTTACTCGTCGATTTACGGAAATCAGATTTATAACGACAATTTTGTGTTTTGAATTTTTAGTTATTATACGAAAGACAGCAACTACGAACAGAGGAGACATTATAAAGAGGAATTCAACAATCTTTGTCCGGAATATAAACAATTATAAAAATACGTTAACAGTAAAAGTCGATATTATAAGTGGCAGCAGCAATATAATATAGTGAAAGCTCAGGGGAATTTTCAAGAACTCAAGGTAATTGTTTGAAATATTTTTTGCTAAATAGATAAAGTAAAATATTTTTTATATTTTGTTTGAGCCAATTTATATTTCCCCCAGAGTCCTTGTCGGATATTTATTAGTAAAATTTGATAATTCATGGAAATAATTTTTGTAAAATCACTCAATTTCTAATTCATCTTTTAGAGCTTACTTATAATTTATAAGAACTTACAAGCAGAAAAAAACGTAAAATTTGTGTTTGATGCACAAAAACATTTTATATAAATTTTCTTGATTTTTTTCGATTTTTAACGGTATTGGATTCTTAAAAAAGATGAAAAAAATTCAAACTTCGGGAATTATTTAAAGTTAACAGATTTACCTTCGTTTCAAAACTAATTTAAAAGACAATGAAAAATTGTAGATTTCTTTGTAAATTATTACAGATTTATGAATTTTGTTTCTCCCAATTGAATTTTAATTCTCAAAAAGTATATTACAAAATTTTTTACATTTCAGATAAAAATAAAAATTTTTAAAGATTACAATATGAATAACGATCCGGTCTTCAAGCAACGTAACACGAGACACGATTATTTGCATGGAAAATTGACTCACTTAAAGAATTTGGTCGAAGAATTTGATACGAAGCATTTCGGTGTTAATGGTAACAAGACAAGATTTTGAAGAAGAAAAATATTTGTTTAATTGAAAATTGTTGGATAGAAAATTAATTTGGCTTAATATATAAAATATGAAAAAAATTTAATAAACATTAATAGATTTAAAGAAGTTAATTTCAGAAATAAATAAAAAAAGAACAATAAACGAAATTAAACACAAGAAAATACTAAACAAAAATAATGTTACAAATAAATTTCCTTTCATTAAAGAAAATATTAATATATTGATAATATATTTTTTTAAGTTAGAAAAATGTTAATTATTTTTAATAAAAATTTGATTAACAAAATTAATCTGGTTTCAATTTATAATGACGATTAAATAAAAAATGTCTCGTGCCTCTAATAATTATATTGATTTTTTATTGAAGTTATAATGAATAGTAACAATAATTAATAATAACAATTAATTTTAATAAATTTTAATTTCTTTAATTTAATTAATTTGAAAAAAATATAATGAATTTTTCTTAATTTTGGGGTGGCGCAACGTTTGTATGAGGTTATTAATGACGGTTGTCCACTCCTCCCTCGTGAAACTTACATCCCCTTTCTTCTTTCACTGAACGTAAGCTATAAAAAGAAATTTTTTGATAATTATCATTATTATCACAAGTGGAAAGATTCAATGGAACGTGCTAATTAGAAATTCCGTTAGAATTTCGATTTTCATTAGAAGTTTTTTCCTTTTTTTGTAAAAAGTATTTGTTTTTTACATAATTATATTGAAATTTCTCTTTTCAATAACCTTTCGACAATTGCCAATAAGAATTCACATGAAAATTTCAAAGAGCACTTTTCTATAAATCTATCCAGGTAAGTAGATTTAGAAATTTAAGGTAATTTTTTACCTATAGTTAGAGACGAACATAACATTAAATTTTTTATCAAATTTTATATCACTTTTGACCTAAAGGTCAATAAGATCAAGGGGAAAAACAAGTTCGCAGATAGTTCAAAAATTTTGAACAAAGTGTTTTTTTCGCCTCCAATACTTTGCCATACATGGCCCATAGTTCGACCATAGTCCAAAAATTTTGAAAAAAGTGTTTTCCTCCCCTCCCATACTTTGCCATACTTGGTCCATAGTTCAAAAATTTTGAGAAAAGTGTTTTTCTCGCCTCCCATACTCCGCCATACTTGGCCCATAGTTCGCCCACAGTTCAAAAATTTTGAGAAAAGTGTTTTTCTCGCCTCCTATACTCCGCCATACTTGGCCCATAGTTCGCCCATAGTTAAAAAATTTTGAGAAAAGTATTTTTCTCGCCTCCCATACTCCGCCATACTTGGCCCATAGTTCGCCCATAGTCCAAAAATTTTGAAAAACGTGTTTTTCTCGCCTCCCATACTCCGCCATACTTGGCCCATAGTTCGCCCATAGTTCAAAAAATTGGAAAAAAGTGTTTTCCTCCCCTCCCATACTTTGCCATACTTGGCCCATAGTTCGCCTATAGTCCAAAAATTTTGAAAAACGTGTTTTTCTCGCCTCCAATACTCCGCCATACTTGGCCCATAGTTCGCCCATAGTTCAAAAATTTAGACAAAAGTGTTTTCCTCCCCTCCCATACTTTGCCATACTTGGCCCATTGTTCGCCCATAGTTCAAAAATTTTGAGAAAAGTGTTTTTCTCGCCTCCAATACTCCGCCATGCTTGGCCCACAGTTCGCCCATAGTTCAAAAATTTAGAAAAAAGTGTTTTCCTCCCATCCCATAGTTTGCCATACTTGGCCTACAGATTGCCCATAGTTTACAAAAGTTTGAGAAAAGTGATTTTCTCGCCTCCCATACTCTGCCATACTTGACCCATAGTTCGCCCATAGTTCAAAAAAAAAGAAAAAAGTGTTTTCCTCCCCTCCCATACTTTGCCATACTTGGCCCATAGTTCGCCTATAGTCCAAAAATTTTGAAAAACGTGTTTTTCTCGCCTCCCATACACCGCCATACTTGGCCCATTGTTCGCCCATAGTTCAAAAATTTTGAGAAAAGTGTTTTTCTCGCCTCCAATACTCCGCCATGCTTGGCCCATAGTTCGCCCATAGTTCAAAAATTTAGAAAAAAGTGTTATCCTCCCATCCCATAGTTTGCCATACTTTGCCCATAGATTGCCCATAGTTTACAAAAGCTTGAGAAAAGTGATTTTCACGCCTCCCATACTCTGCCCTACTTGACCCATAGTTCGCCCATGGTTCAAAAATTTTGAAAAAAGTTTATTTCTCGCTGCCCATACTCCGCCATATTTGGCCCACACTTCGCCCATAGTTCAAAAAGTTTGAAATAAGTGTTTTTCTCGCCTCCCATAGTTTGCCAATACTTGGCCCATAGTTCGCCCATACTTCAAAAAATTGGAAAAAAGTGTATTTCTCGCTTCCCATACTCCGCCATACTTGGCCCATAGTTCGCCTATAGTCCAAAAATTTTGAAAAACGTGTTTTTCTCGCCTCCCATACTCCGCCATACTTGACCCATTGTTCGCCCATAGTTCAAAAATTTTGAGAAAATTGTTTTTCTCGCCTCCAATACTCCGCCATACTTGGCCCATAGTTAGCCCATAGTTCAAAAATTTATAAAAAAGTGTTTTCCTCCCATCCCATAGTTTGCCATACTTGGCCCATAGATTGCCCATAGTTTACAAAAGTTTGAGAAAAGTGATTTTCTCGCCTCCCATACTCTGCCATACTTGACCCATAGTTCGCCCATGGTTCAAAAATTTTGAAAAAAGTTTATTTCTCGCTGCCCATACTCCGCCATATTTGGCCCACACTTCGCCCATAGTTCAAAAATTTTGAAATAAGTGTTTTTCTCGCCTCCCATAGTTTGCCAATACTTGGCCCATAGTTCGCCCATACTTCAAAAATTTTAAAAAAAGTGTATTTCTCGCTTCCCATACTCCGCCATACTTGGCACATAGTTCGCCCATAGCCCAAAAATTTTGAAAAACGTGTCTTTCTCGCCTCCCACACTCTGCCATACTTGGCCCATAGTTCGCCCATAGTTCAAAAAGTTTGAAAAAAGTCTTTTTCTCTCCTCCCATACTCTGCCATACTTGACCCATAGTTCGCCCATGGTTCAAAAATTTTGAAAAAAGTTTATTTCTCGCTGCCCATACTCCGCCATATTTGGGCCACACTTCGCCCATAGTTCAAAAAGTTTGAAATAAGTGTTTTTCTCGCCTCCCATAGTTTGCCATACTTGGCCCATAGTTCGCCAATACTTCAAAAAATTGGAAAAAAGTGTATTTCTCGCTTCCCGTACTCCGCCATACTTGGCCCATAGTTCGCCTATAGTCCAAAAATTTTGAAAAACGTGTTTTTCTCGCCTCCCATACTCCGCCATACCTGGCCCATAGTTCGCCCATAGTTCAAAAAAATGGAAAAAAGTGTTTTCCTCCCCTCCCATACTTTACCATACTTGGCCCATAGTTCGCCCATAGTTCAAAAATTTAGACAAAAGTGTTTTCCTCCCCTCCCATACTTTGCCATACTTGGCCCATAGTTTGCCCATAGTTCACAAAAGTTTGAGAAAAGCCATTTTCTCGCCTCCAATACTCCGCCATGCTTGGTCCATAGTTCGCCCATAGTTCAAAAATTTAGCAAAAAGTGTTTTCCTCCCATCCCATCCTTTGCCATACTTGGTCCATAGTTAGCCCATAGTTCAAAAATTTAGAAAAAAGTATTTTCCTCGCCTCTCATACTCCACCATACTTGGCCCACACTTCGCCACATAGTTCAGAAATTTGGAAAAAAGTGTTTTCCTGCCCTCCCATACTTTGCCATACTTGGCCCATAATTTGCCCATAGTTCAAAAATTTAGAAAAAAGTGTTTTCCTCCCCTCCCATCCTTTGCCATACTTGGTCCATAGTTAGCCCATAGTTCAAAAAGTTTGAAAAAAGTGTTTTTCTCTCCTCCCATACTCTGCCATACTTGACCCATAGTTCGCCCATGGTTCAAAAATTTTGAAAAAAGTTTATTTCTCGCTGCCCATACTCCGCCATATTTGGCACATAGTTCGCCCACAGTTCAGAAATTGAAAAAAGTGTTTTCCTCCCCTCCCATACTTTGCCATACTTGGCCCATAGTTCGCCCATAGTCCAAAAATTTTGAAAAACGAGCTTTCTCGCCTCCCATAGTTTGCCATACTTGGCCCATAGTTCGCCCATAGTTCAAAAAGTTTGAAAAAAGTGTTTTTCTCGCCTCCCATACTCCGCCATACTTGGCCCATAGTTCGCCCATAGTTCAAAAAGTTTGAAAAAAGTGTTTTTCCCGCCTCCCATACTCCGCCATACTTGGCCCATAGTTCGCCCATAGTTAAAGAATTTTGAGAAAAGTGTTTTTCTCCCCTCCAATACTCCGCCATACTTGGCCCATAGTTCAAAAATTTAGAAAAAAGTGTTTTCCTCCCCTCCTATAGTTTGCCATACTTGGCTCATAGTTTGCCCATAGTTCAGAAAAGTTTGAGAAAAGTGATATTCTCGCCTCCGATACTCCGCCATACTTGGCCCATATTTCGCCCACAGTTCAGAAATTTGGAAAAAAGTGTTTTCCTCCCCTCCCATACTTTGCCATACTTGGCCCATAGTTCGCCCATACTTCAAAAATTTTGAAAAAAGTGTTTTTCCCGCTTCCCATAGTTTGCTATACTTGGCCCATAGTTCGCCCATATTTCAAACATTTTTTTTTAAAAAAGTGTTTTTCTCGCCTCCCATACTCCGCCATACTTGACCCATAGTTCGCCCATAGTTCAAAAAGTTTGAAAAAAGTGTTTTTCTCGCCTCCCATACTCCGCCATACTTGGCCCATAGTTCGCCCATAGTTCAAGAATTTTGAGAAAAGTGTTTTTCTCCCCTCCAATACTCCGCCATACTTGGCCCATAGTTCAAAAATTTAGAAAAATGTGTTTTCCTCCCCTCCCATAGTTTGCCATACTTGGCCCATAGTTTGCCCATAGTTCAGAAAAGTTTGCGAAAAGTGATATTCTCGCCTCCGATACTCCGCCATACTTGGCCCACACTTCGCCCATAGTTCAAAAATTTTGAAAAAAGTGTATTTCTCGCTGCCCATACTCCGCCATATTTGGCCCACACTTCGCCCATAGTTCAAAAAATTGGAAAATAGTGTTTTCCTCGGCTCCAATACTTTGCCATACTTGGCCCATAGTTCGCCCACAGTTC